ATATTGTCTGTTCTGTGCATGCCTGAAGATCACCAAGTTTTGGTGGTATGGCAGTCGTGTCGTAGTACTGCTTCTGTACCAGTGTTGTATCCGTTACATGCAGCTTCTATCGAATGCTGGTCCATGCCTTAGTGTTGTCGCGACTCGTACCCTCTTGGCATCGTAGTGCTGCAGAATGAGAACAGAATCCCTAGTAGTAACCCTGTCTACCACGCGGTCTACTAGACACACTGCCTTCAGTACAACAGCGCATGCGAAGTGCTGCTCAGAGTATACCTTGTGTTCAGAACCATGCGAGGGGTTGGTACCATAAACGCGGAGCTGGTAACTTCCAGAATCGGCGCCAAAGTAGTTTCCCTCGGTGGTTTCTCAAGCAAGGAATCTCAGCTGCGTAGATATCCCACGGTGATGGGTTAGGACATCTAGGAATATTAAGGGTATTCCCAAATAATCATCTCCCATTTCCAAATAAGCATTGGTGACAGCCAATCCAGTATGACCTTATGCACTTCCACTTTAGCACGAAGGCCATCGGTAGGCATTGGTGTCTGGGCGCACATATTGGGATAGGTCTTCTGGTGCCATCATGTCTTGTCTCATTCTGTTACTATCCTTGAAGTTGCGTTGATGTCGAAGAGGTCTCAGCTAATCAGCACCGGTGTTGAAGTCTGCTCCATTTCGGCAAACAAGGGTGTTGTTGGACATATGCGGAGTCCACTATCCGGAGTGGCGTCGGCGCTCCATTTCACGCCTATCTACTTCCGTGGAGGTGGTGCTGGTGATGGATTGGTTGCGACGCAGGTTTTATGACTTTAAGGAAAGCCATAGGCCATGAGGACTTGTATACCGGTAGAGTACCGTTGTCTTCCCATCCTTGTAAGAGCAAATATCTCTTGCTCTTGGGGTATATGGCATTACCATGTTGTTCCCTAGCATAGTGGTATCTCTTTCCCACTAGCTGGAAATCACAGTACTGTGCCTGGCAAGGACTTTACGATCCATTTGAATATAATCTATCATTATCTCCACTGAGCGGAGAATCATCCATCAGGGTTTGGATATGACTGTTGAGTCGAGTCTTCTGCTGCGGCGGCGGCGGCGGTTGCGACGATGGCGACGGCGGCAGCTGCTGCAAAGAATTCTCTTAACTCGTAATGGTTGAAGGAGAATCCATCAACTCCCTCATCCTAGTAGAGTTTTCCTGATGGGTGTAATAGGCATAACTACCAGGAACATGTGCATTTTGGTACACATGTGTTGCTCCATTGCTGCCGGTGATTGTTTGATTCGAGGGTATGAAGAGAAATTTGCTTCTCCCCTCAATGTATCCACGGATAGCAATTCCGGGTATGCTCATCCGTGCTTCCGATGTACGGTCAGTAGAGCGCGTGATTGTGTTGTAGTAGTCCGCATCTCCCTCATGTGTTGACACTTCGTGTTGCTTGGCATTCTCCTGTATCGTCGAAGTTACGCTGATGCTTGTAACTCTTCGGCTTCTGGTAGAATCGCCTCCAATGCATATGTCGTAGGGTCGCTAGTGAACGAGTACTTGCCAGATTCGAGGTTAATTACTCCTCAATCTGTCAAGCATCGTGACATGCACGGAATGTTTATCCACGAAGGTCATTAACACCTGGAATCACGACGCATGATTGGTGTGTCGCCTCGTGAGGTTGATGTTGAGACTGCTCCAATCAATCACTTCGGATGGCTGAGATTCTAAATGAAGACGAATTGATCAGCTCCTGTTACGAAGTAGTGTCTCGCTGGTCTTGACGAGACGGGTTCACTGCGTCGTCGTTGTGTGCGAAATCTGCTACTTCACAGCAACTTGAACTTGGGAGCATTGCATGAGAAAACGGCTACTTCTCTGCAATCCCATAGGTTGTCGATCCAACTTATGAGATGAAGTGACTCATGGACGGAGAACATGTCTTCACGCAGCTCCATTTTTTTTTCCTGGGTGAAGATCTCGCTGTGTTGATGTCAATCCATTTTTAACAAAGATGACTTCGTCAAAATAAATCGATCGTTGTCGACACTAGTCAGAAGATGTGTCGATTGTGCAGTCCCTGGTCACGAGTGTCGTCTCCATGATGATGTTTCCCATAGTGTAATCTCCTCTGCATTCGTGCCGTTGATTCCGCATCGATCCGACGATCCACGTTCTCCTGTCAGTTTTCTGGCTGCAGCTATTACCAAGTACGTAATTCTTTGGCAGATTTCAGACTCTATACATGATTTGCACGCCAAATTCCTGCTTGATTGGAAGAATATGAAACTGGTTGTCAAGGTGAAGTAACTGGTGTCGAAGGCGGCTGATTCTTGGTTTTGCGCGTCATTCTTCCTTTTGTGCAGAAATTGCGCTCCATCTCGTCCGTTGAAGCAGAAGTTGATCCGACGGTCCAAACTCCAAGTGATCTGAAGATATTCCTGAGTCGCGTTCAGCAGCTTTCGGTGCCCGAGTTGACTCATTTTCTGCAGCAATTCTCGGTCGTCGATGTCAGCTGTCGAACGATCGGACGCTCCGACGAATTTCGCTGCTTGCGAGGTCCCATTCCCATTCGCGTTGTAACTCGAACTCGCACATTATGATTTCTTTTCGCCTCGGTCGATCTGAAGCGTCGGACCTCCATCGGACGGATGTCGTCGGTCGCAACTTCGCACATTTCCGCGCAACTCCAAGAGTCATGGCGAACTGCGAACTTCTCGGAATGTCGCACGGAGTGTTGCGCCAGAACTGACGTGTTCGTGAGGTCGAGGCCGTTTGCCCCCGCGAAAAAATTGGCTCCGTCGATGCAGTCCATTGAACGGTTTGCGAGGCATCTCGCCTTCGAAGGGACCCCAGGTGCAACTGCACGAGGTTAGTCGAAACTTAAATGAAAGTGCATTGTACTTACAGGAATTGAAGTTTCGACTCCATCTTCGGTGTGCTCTTGGGGTCCCAGCGGTTAAGTGTTGAGCCGAAACCTTGGCTCTGATTACCAAGTGTCACAGGATCGAATAAGGTTTGCTCAATGTTGTACTATCCATGAGTACAAGGTGCTTTTATACTTCCATAGTACATCAGGTAACCAGGTTTATCCTAACCAAAGAGAATAGACCCTTCTAGAAATAGAATCACCCTGCGTATAGCCACACGAGATTCTTGGCTTTAAGGGATCACGGCAGTATATAGCGTGCTAGTACATCCCGAGCCTGGTCGGTGGTATAATCATAATAACATGATAAACCGAAGGATAATGGAAAATGAGGAGTAGGAAACCAAATGAGATGAGATAAAGACCAAATGAATCAGTATAAAAAGAGGAATGAAATAGAAAGGAAATATGGTAAGGGGAAATAGGTGTAACGGTATCGTACTGTCACAGGAGTGTTCCATCCGCCATATACTGATCGGGCAAGCAGGTGTGTCGTGGCTCTGCACAACGTGATACCTTATGATGGGTGATTTTCTTCCAACAAGACGACACTGTTGGTGCAACCCTATGGCTTGCACTCGGCTTGTCGTCCGTGTTTGTGTGTGTGCATGCATGGCATGGAATGACTTGTGAGTCTATGTCATTGCTATCTAGTGCTTGTGTGTGTGTTTGAATGGTGTCTCACAATGTGGTGTGTGTCGGTCAAGACATTAGTGAGTTTTTACAACTCGCATGTCAAGTCGTCGTTTGCGTGTCGCATGTGTTTTTCTATTTTGTCAAGTGTGAAGTGTCCATCGCGTCGCAGGTGTGTGCAGCAAGCCCCCATCAACTCAAGAAGAATTTATCTTGAAGAACCAAGACCAAGAGCTCAAGATTTCAAGCCCAAGGGACGCGGATAAATATTAAATAGTGAAAATAGTAACGCTACTTCGTGTAGTGTTACATTTCACTTGGTGTAGCCCCTTGGAGGGTTTGTTTTGAGACTCTTCGTGGTTGGGGACTCTGTGGTGGTGTACCACCAACCTGGACCTCGGCTCTTGGGGTATGTAGAGGCTGGGAACCATCTCCCTCTAAAATTCTTCTTCCTAAGTTTTTTGTACTCCTAACACTATAGTGGCTGCTGTACCTCCTGCCAGTCAAACCGCCATAGCGTCGTCAAATCTCGATGGAATTTTATGATTCAACTTGCTGCTGATAGGCGACACCAACGCGCTCCAGATCCAATTTACAGATCACCGTTTGAGGCACACATCAGATCGGCATCAATATTTGAAGCTGGCTGACGGAATTCTGACTGTGCACATTTTCTCTCATTTTAGGCACATCTGAGCCTATTGTGATTATAACAAGTGGTATCAGAGCCCCTTGGAGCTGTCTCGACCATGCCTAGACCTGAGGAAGGGGGTGGCAGAGGTGCTGGAGGCAGAGAAGACGCCCAAGCACAAGGTCAACACCAAGATCCACCCATGGCTCCCGTGCAACCTAGCCTTGGACCCTCTAGGGATGAGCCTAGAGTGTTTGGCCTTGACAAGTTCAACGGTGACAACTTTGCTGAGTGGTCCTTCAAGATGGAGAACATCTTTGACCATTATGATCTGCTGGAGGTGATGGAAGGAACGGAGAAGCACCCCGAGAACGACCCGGAGAAGAGCCCGTGGGTGCGGAAGAGCGCACAAGGCTACCTTCTACTTGGGCAAGCGTTGGGGAGCAGCCAAATCCGTCACATCAAGCCTTTTCAGCGTGAACCAGCAAAGGGACCAAAGGCATGGGCTGCTCTCAAGGGTGTACACGCTCCTGCAACAGCGGCGGTGGCTGTGGTTTTGGAGCGGCAAATGGCGGCCCTTCGAATTGACGAAGGCGAACCGGTGGAGGACGGAGTGCAGAAATTCTTCGACTTGTTGACACGGCTTGAAGGAGCTGACCTGAACTACAGTGACCTTCAAAAGAAGACCAAGCTGCTGGCCTTGCTTCCGGACTCATGGTCCTCGCTCATCATCAACCTAAATCGAGATCTGCCCCGCCTCTCGCTCGAAGATGTGAAGCGGGAAATCTTACAAGAAGATTTCCGTCGTCGTGAATTGGCGGGTACCGATGGTGCCGGAGTTGCAAGCATGGGCCGTGGGCACGGCCGTGGAAGGGGCAGAGGGCGAGGAGGAAGATTTGGCAGCAGCAACTTCAATGGAGGCCGTGGTAATGGAGGATATGGCAGCAACAACAACAACAATGGCTACGGGCGTGGGCGCGGTCGATTTGATGGCGAATGCCACTTTTGCCACAAGACCGGCCACATGTGGAGAGATTGCTACAGATTGCCTGATGGATGGACCCCTTCTCAAGGCCAAGAGGGCAGAGGAGCAAGGGGAGGAAGAGGCAGAGGTCGTGGAGGCCGTGGTGGTCGTGGAAGCGAAGCGGCATGCATGAAAGGTGGAGACTACGAGACGGGCCCGAGTGAAGATCGATACCCAGGCCAATTCTTCTTTGTCTCCACGCAAGCGGCAGCTGCAGCAGGAGGTGTGGAAGGCTTTGAGGAGCCAGCTACTGTGGGAAAGGTCACCCTTCACTCTCTGGACTTTTGGGTGATCGATAGCGGCGCCACCTATAGCATGACACCTCGTGCGGACTTGCTCACCGAACTCGAACCGTCGCCGGTCAAGCATGTTACATCGGCTTTGGGACAGCGAGCAGAGGTGAAAGGCATGGGCAAGGCCATGTTCAAGGGTGCTGATGGGAAGATGGTGGGCCTCAAGAACGTGCTTTTGGTGCCCAACCTAGCAGCCAACCTGATTTCCGTTCGGCGTTTGCAAAAGGCCGGCATGGACACATCTTCCAAGGGTTCGAAAACATATACCGCGAGGCTTGGTGAGCGGAAGCTTTGGGACCTTCATGAGGACAGGGACATCTACAATGAGATGTGGCAAATCCCAGTGGTCCCCATGCCTAAGGAGAGGCAAGTGGCAGCAAGCGTCAGCACCAAGAGTGAAGCGGATGGTGGCGGTGATCACGGAAAACAAAGTGACACCAAGAGTGACTCGAAGGAGTGCAATCTTGGAGAGACCAGCAAGGCGTGTGAACCCAAGGAGAGTAGTGCAGCAGCCAAAGGTGGTGGAAATGAGGAGGGGAAACCTAAGATCAGCAAAGCAGCAGCGGCGAAGGAGAAAGGAGAGAGCTTGTGGGACACGATTGCGAGTGCCGCTTTCTCCAACCCGACTTCCGCTACGGGAGAGTGTGATTGGCTGACCTTGCATCGGCGAATGGGGCATGTGGCATTGCCCATTTTGCAGCAGATAGTTAAGCAAGAGATGGTCAGTGGGATACGTGTCAAGGGGGAGCCCAATGAGGTGCTTGGCTGTCCAACATGCATGCAAGCCAAGTTCACCCGCTACCCGTTCCATAGCTCGGAGACAACGGCGAAGGCACCACTTGATGAGGTGGTGATGGATGTGGTGGGCCCCTTGAAGCTTGGAGCTGCTGGAGCTGCGTACTTCCTCACCATTGTGGACGTCTACACTCGCATGACTTGGGTGTATGTGCTGCCAAAGAAGAGTGACGTAGCTGAAACGGTGAAGACCGATTGGTTGCCGATGGTGGAGCGGCAACAAGACCGACTTGTGAAGGCGATTCGCACTGACCGTGGGGGAGAGTTCCTGAGCAAGGATTTCTCAACTTGGCTGAAGAAGCAGGGCATAAGGCACTCTCTTACCATGCCCTACTCTCCTGCAATGAACGGCATCGCCGAGCGTGCGAATCGGACACTCACGGAGACGGCTCGGGGACTTCTCATTGAAGCCGGTCTTCCCAATTACTTTTGGCCGGATGCGGTGCGGCATGCTTGTGTGGCCAAGAACAGAGCCTTGACTCATGTGGGAGAAGACAAATGGGTGCCCTATGTGGAGTGGATTGGAAGGAAGCCGAAGGTGGATATGCTTCGGGTGTTCGGGTGCATGTGCATGGCACTTGTGCCTAAGAAACTTCGGCACAACAAACTTGATGCCAAGGCAACATGGGCCGTGCACCTGGGCATGGCTCAAAACAGCAAGGGATGGCTTCTTTGGGACCCATTTACCAAGAAGTTCTTGGTGAGCAGAGATTGCAAGTTCATGGAGAACTTACCGTACAAGGAGTGGAAGGCGGAGAACCAAGCGAAGATTGGTATGCGGCTTGGAGAGGTGAAGAGTAACGGCTTGGAGCATGTGGAGCTGCCCTTGGAGCTGAGTAGCAGCAGCACAGTCACGAGGCAATCTCCTCAAATGAATGGGGATGAAGAGGAGGAGGAGGTGCAGCAAGGTGATGAGCGTGCACCGTCACTTCCGCCTCGTGCTACAAGTGCTCGTGGGAACCGACCAGATTTACCGCAATGCCATGAGAGCATTCAAGTCCCTGCAGCAGAGGAGGAAGGAAGGGGGAGAAGGAGAACTCAGCCCCCTAATAGGTTGAGCTATGATCGGCTTGGAAGACCAGCCAACTCAACCTTGACCGGTTCGGCTCTCATGCTAGGCGATGATGCGGAAGATGAAAGCGAGGAGTGCGCCTTTGCCTTCTTCTCTCCGGTGGAGATGCCGGGGGAGCCTACAAATCCCAAGGAGGCTTGGGAGGGCCCCAATGGGAAGGAGTGGAAGAAGGCCTCAGATGAAGAAATGGGGAGCATCATCGAGAACGACACGTTTGACTTGGTGAACCTACCTCCGGGGCGTAAGGCGATCTCTTCCAAGTGGCTCTTCAAGCGCAAGACCGACGCCGACGGCAACATCGAGCGCTACAAGAGCAGACTTGTAGCCAAGGGGTATCAGCAGCAAGAGAAGAAGGACTACAATGAAGTGTATGCTCCTGTGGTGAAGGGTACAACCCTTCGAACCCTCTTCGCCGCGGCGGCCATCAAAGGATGGGTGGTGAAGCAAATGGATATCGTAACGGCCTTCCTCAACGGCGTTTTGGAGGAAGAAACCTACATGGAGCAGCCAGAGGGGTACAATGATGGGAGTGGCAGAGTGTGGAAGCTGAAGAAAGCACTCTATGGCCTCAAGCAAGCCCCTAGGCAATGGTACATCAAGCTGCGGGAAGTTTTGGAGGCGATCGGCTTCACTCCCTCAACGGCCGATCAATCGTTGTTCATGCTTGGCGAGGGGGAGCAGAGGAGCTTCATGGTGGTTTATGTGGATGACATCCTTATATTCTCACCCTCCTCTGACCTTGTGAAGGAGGTGATGCTGAAGCTTCAAGACAAGTTCAAGTGCAAGACCCTTGGTGACGTCAACTACTACCTTGGGCTTCACATTGAGCGAGATGTGGAGAAGCGGTGGATGCGAGTGCATCAAAAGAAGTACTTGGAGGCCTTGGCTGCAAACTTTGGGAAGAGTGAAGGTCATGTGGCTACTCCTCTTCCCTCAGGGTTCAAGTGTGTGAAAGGACCAGCGGAGGAAAGTGTTGGTGAAGAGGAGAGGCGCCGTTTTCACTCCTTGGTGGGCAGCCTCATGTATGCGGCCGTTCACACAAGGCCGGATGCAGCCTTTGCTACCGGGCAGCTGGCTAGGGTTGTCCAATGCCCTAATGAAGAGCAGGTAGCAGCTGGAGAGAGAGTGGCCAAGTACCTTGGCCAAACAGCAACTGTTGGACTGCAATACTCCGCGGCGGCACAAAGGCGTCAAAAGGGTGCGGATGGAGTCGAACCCGGGAGGCTCTTTCTCACCGCCTTCTCTGATGCATCTTGGGCATCAGAACCAGAGGACATGACAAGTGTGGGAGGCTTCATCTGCTGTGTTGGTGGAGGACCAACAGCTTGGGAGAGCAAGAAACAAGTGGACCAAGCATTGAGCTCGGTGGAGTCCGAGTACATGGCACTCTTCCGTGCCATAAGAGAGGTTGTGTGGCAGCGGCGTTTGCTAGCTGAATTGGGGGAGGAGCAGCAAGGACCTACCCCCCTCTACTGTGATAGCCAGGGTGCTATTGCATTGGCTAAGAACCCCGTTCTTCATGGCCTTACCAAGCACATGAAGGTGAAGTGGCATTGGGTGAGGAGCATGGTAACCGCGGGTGAAGTGGAGTTGCACTACGTGAAGACGACGGCGCAGCCGGCTGATATGATGACCAAGAGGCTGGTTGAGCAGCAGCATTGGAAGTGTTGCAAGCTTGCTGGGATGGCTCTGAACTAAGGGGAGCAGATTCTAAGGTCAACAATCCGAGGGGGAGTTTGTTGGTGCAACCCTATGGCTTGCACTCGGCTTGTCGTCCGTGTTTGTGTGTGTGCATGCATGGCATGGAATGACTTGTGAGTCTATGTCATTGCTATCTAGTGCTTGTGTGTGTGTTTGAATGGTGTCTCACAATGTGGTGTGTGTCGGTCAAGACATTAGTGAGTTTTTACAACTCGCATGTCAAGTCGTCGTTTGCGTGTCGCATGTGTTTTTCTATTTTGTCAAGTGTGAAGTGTCCATCGCGTCGCAGGTGTGTGCAGCAAGCCCCCATCAACTCAAGAAGAATTTATCTTGAAGAACCAAGACCAAGAGCTCAAGATTTCAAGCCCAAGGGACGCGGATAAATATTAAATAGTGAAAATAGTAACGCTACTTCGTGTAGTGTTACATTTCACTTGGTGTAGCCCCTTGGAGGGTTTGTTTTGAGACTCTTCGTGGTTGGGGACTCTGTGGTGGTGTACCACCAACCTGGACCTCGGCTCTTGGGGTATGTAGAGGCTGGGAACCATCTCCCTCTAAAATTCTTCTTCCTAAGTTTTTTGTACTCCTAACACTATAGTGGCTGCTGTACCTCCTGCCAGTCAAACCGCCATAGCGTCGTCAAATCTCGATGGAATTTTATGATTCAACTTGCTGCTGATAGGCGACACCAACGCGCTCCAGATCCAATTTACAGATCACCGTTTGAGGCACACATCAGATCGGCATCAATATTTGAAGCTGGCTGACGGAATTCTGACTGTGCACATTTTCTCTCATTTTAGGCACATCTGAGCCTATTGTGATTATAACAGACACAACCTAACTGAAGCGATACACTGCTGATAAATGTACCATGAAAAAATAAGCAAATGATAAGGAAGATCGACCCGCACTATCCTCTTTCCGAGCCATTTAAATTGTACACGTACTAGATGCTGAGACAAGGGTGTCATTGCATCGTTGGACTGTAGCCTGATATACAGGTGTGTAAGTTGATAAGGAACCAAGGCACCCCTAGGGGGCATGCAATCGAACCACGAAGTCATTTGAAACGATGGTCCTGGCAAAGTATGACAGTTAGCGAACACATGTGTGCCCAACTAGACACGAAAGAGGCTAAGGTGGTTGTGATGCTGCAAAGGTGCTGACAATGTCACAATGGGCAAGGATGATACCACGCGCTTTAGCAGGTGATTGGAGGTCGAGTTATCAATAACTTTGCCATAGCAAGGGCTAAGGCATGATAATGGCATTGGACCCTACCACGATGGTCCACATGTGTGAATTAATGCTCTACATGCTTTGCATATGAATTGAGAAGAGCATGGTTAAAGGAAGGGTCGTTCATACTAGCTGGAGTAAGGCACCGTCATGATTGTCTCTGCCAATTGTTCTTGCAAGTAATTATCGTATTGTGATTTCAACGCGTGGCATTTGTATAAGAGGCATGCCATTATAGGCAGT